CTAGAACTAGAGACAGCAGTTGTAACGCTACCTATAATCAGACCCGATGTACATGTTGTTTGCAGCCTCCAAACTATTGTTACATGACTCATACACCCAAAAATGACAAATGCGGGAACGTTCACGACTACAACCCCCATATATTAAATTTATTCCGGCGCTCTCGTGTCCATCTTTGTTTCTGTTGCCTCGGTCCAGGTCTGCATGTCTTCGATAGGCAGATTGTCGAGAACTTGTAATGTCTATGACATGAGTTAGTAGAGTCAGAGCGCCAAAGGTGCCAAAGGCTTACCTGATCAAGCTCGACAGCTCCATCCCCGACGTTCTCTTCAAGTCGCTTGATAAGCGCCTGCTTCTGCAGCAATGATGCGTAACGCTCTTGGCAGTCTTTGTGCAGCTAAGGAATTAGGTTAACGTCCAATCGGGATGACTACACCGACTCACTTCCAAATACTCGTCTCTCAGCTTGGCATAGGCCTCATCGTATACAGGCAAGACTGTAGCAGCTACTAGAGCATGCGGGGACACGTCCGGTCTAGTCTTGTATCAGCCCGCAGCCAGCAACAGTTCGAGGGACTGACCTCCATGCGTCTGGTCTATTTGAACTTTCCCCGTTGGCCTTGCACGTTGCAGCATATTCCCTGGCCTCCATGTCGACCTCATCAATCAGCTGCATCGCTGGGCCGGCCTTGTAGTGAGTCAAGAGCTCATGAGCATTTGCCTGAGTGTGGTCAGAAAAGCTGTACACTGGCGTGGAGGACATACCAGGATATTGTCGCGCATAGCCTGAGACGCCGAGAGGTATGTATTTTCGACAGCTTTCGGCATCTTTTTGGAGAGCTTGGGAAAGCAATCTCTCATCTGGTCGGCACTGTATAGGGGTCAGCTTGCCACCCGCCCACCTTTTGAGACCAAACTCACGTCCATCTCTGAGCAGCGGCCATGACTGCACGATCCAACATCTCCATCGACAACCTATACCGTCTGCCATACAGTAGGTGCTCGGGCGGCACATCCGCATCCAGCTGTATAGGGGGCGGAGGCGGAAGAGGGTTGGTATGACGTCTTGATGAACGCGAGCGAGGAGTTTTTGGTTGGGCAGGCTGTGAGTTTTGGGAAGACGATTCCGCCTGGGGAGGTGCATGGGACCGCCTAGGACGTGATGTTGGAGGGGTGGTAGGCTGACTAGGGCCGGATGGCTGTGAGAGCTCGGCAGAGGCATCCACGGTATCTGGCTCCTGCATTTCCACATCGCCACCTTCATCCGCCTGGACATGACCGAGCGAACTGTCCTCTGTTTTTGCGATTGCCGATCCGTCCATAGTCTCTTCGTGTACAACGATCGCAGGAGCGGGTCGTATGGGGCGGTCGTCCACGATGAGACTGTGATGTGGCGCCGGTTCCTCTGTTGTGTTTCCCTCCTCCAAGACTTCATCCTGGGCGTCTGGCTCTTCTTGTGGCTCGTTGTCCGGCTCGGGCTGGGCATGTAGCTGTGGGTGTTGAGGCGGCTGGGATGGAGATCTAGCTGGAGGGGAGCGCATGATACCCGGGTTGCGGGGTGCGAAGGGGGAGGCATGCTGGGGAGGGACAGGGGCAGGTGTGAGGTCGTGCGAGCGCTGGGGGGGAGTGCGGGCGAGACCCATGGTGGGAGATGGAGATGCGTGAGACTGGGGAGATGAAAGAGGTCGTTGTTGTTGTTGTGGTGTTTTGTTTACGGCGACGCGTTCGTTACGTAACCCCTTCGTATGCGTATGGAGCGTCGTCGCGTGTCCCTGTTCTGCATTCTTCTCTATCATTTCCGCCTGCCCATACCACAGCATACTGGCACAGGAGGCCTGACCATGTACGCCCGCCCCGTCCCTCCACGGCCCCGCTGACGTCCCCAGGCCCGACTCGAATCCCTCCGACAGCGGCTCGCGCTCCTCCTCTCCCGGCGCAGGTGTCCCTCATCGCAGGGTCGTTTCTGGCAGCCTCAGAGACCGCATAGCCAAGTTCAACAACCCAGACGCACCGCCACCCGTGCCCAAAAAGTACACCCCACCCGCACCTGTACAGCGTGGCTTGATCGGCAACCGCATCCCTTCCCTCGACCCCAAGACAGCTGGCATTCTTGGGAAAGCCCCCGAGAAGCGCGTCGTCGAAAACAGGGGACTCATTGGGAACCGGATTCCCAGCCTCAGCTCTGGAGGATACAACCCGCTCCTGTATCAAAACACCGGTTCCAGCAGTGGCAAACCTGCCGCGAGATCCGCCAGCCCTGCTGGCTCTGTCGACTCGAGCGCCGCGTCAGCCACAGTCGACAGTAACGTCTCTCCAATGACTTCCCGCTCATCGACACCTCCATCTTCCCCCGGCACTGCTGCCAATGTCCCTTCCCACCTTGTCGCCTCTACATTGCCTTCCCTTAATGTCGACCTCGGCGCCTCTACCCCTTCTTCCACTCGCGCCGAGGCCGGGGACACTGTGTCCGAGCTGGCATTGTCCGTGCCCTCCACACCTATAGGCGGTGACGCGCCACCTCTACCTGCGGCAGAGTACGACCTCGTGCCTCCAAACCTCAAATTGGCGGCTTCAGGTCAAGTGCCGAACCCAATGGCGCGCGGACTGTCGCAGCAATCTGTGGGTGTAACGCCTAGTATCTCTTCCTCGCTTGCTACGCAGTCTGTAGGCAGCGAGGAGGAGAATCAGATGATGGCCGACGTCAGTGGCGTGAGCACGCCCACGGGTACACCAAAGGCAGAGAGGCAAGAGCTTCGTGAGGGCAGCGTCGCGGATGACGATGAGCTGAAAGACCTTGCGGCAAAGACGGAAAACCTTGGGATCGACGAAAACACTCCTCCTGGTGCCGACTCTGTGCCTGCTACGCCTACCAAAGAGATTCCTGAGCCTATATCGGCAGAGACTCCCACTCCCTTTTCCGATCCCTCTACCGAGTCAGTCCAGAGAGATTCTCCCGTCTCTGGCCCTTCCACTCCGAAATCTACTGCTTCCGACCCCAACAAGGCGCCTGATCTTCACTTGCTCAAAGCTGGCGCCCTCAGCTCTCCGAGCCCTAGGTCTTCTACTTCTCCTGAGCAGGCCCAAGGCGGTATCGACGAGATGGCCAGCGCGGCTTTGGCCCAGAACCTGGGCGAGTATACCGTGGCTGGCAATGAGAAGAAGGTGCAAGGCGGCAGGGCTGGGCAGTATGTGGAAGATGTCGAGCATCCTGACGAGGTGGTCTTGCCTGCTGGTGATGCTACTTCTGAGGCTGGCGAGTCTGAAAAAGAAGAGCTAGAGGTGAAGGACTTGTCGAGTCCCCAGGAGGAAGTGCAGGTGGAAGAGGAACCGGTCGAGAGTGATGTCCCCGCTGTTGATCAAGCTCAGAAGACAGAGCAGGAGCAGTCCGAGACTGCTGAGAGCGAGATTACAGAAGGAAACGAGTCTGAACAACCTGAGGCGGAGCTCCCTGCATCCCACGTCGCAGCTGCCGAAGAGAGCCCCGAGGTCGACCTCACGGAGGCGGAAGAAAAGCCCAGCGTTGTGGCTACGGAGGAAAGTGTACCGGATGTCTCTGACAAGAGCCAGGGTGTAAATCAGCCAGACGAGGACAAGGTGCCCGAGCTACATGACGATGTCGTTGCTGGAAACCCCAGTGACGAGGACGTGAAAGTCGCTGCAACCGAAGACAAGGCTCAGCCGTCCGATTTGGAAGACGCCGAGGAGGAAGCGTCAATCAAGACGGACGGAGAAGCGGCTGAGGTGCCCGAGGTTGTGAATGTTGGTAAAGAGGTCCCAGCCATCCAGACCGCGAATGCGTCTTTGGAGTCGGAAGACCCATCAGAACCCAGGCCTGTCCAGACAGATGATGGAGCATCTGAGCAACCCGAGATGGCCATGGGGACAGCGCCTTCAGCCCAAAGCGACGAGACGCCAATCGTTCCAGAGACTCTTACTGAGCAGCCTTCAATTGCCGCGTTGGGTCTCGAAGCCAAGGCAGAAGATGTCGCAGGGAAGCAGCTTGAATTTGAGCCTGCTATCGTCAAGCCAGAGGTCGAGCCAGAGGCCAAAGCGGACGCGCCCAAAGACGAGGAGACACCTGTGGTGAAAGAACCCACCTTTCCCTCCCCACCCGCCGCGGACCCCGACATTGAAGACCCTATCCCTTCTGCCCCTGAATCTTTGACAGGCTCTTCCCTCCTTATCCCTACCCCTACTTCCCCCGTTGGAGATGTCCCAGAGACACCTATCGACAACTCGATGCTTAAATACTTTCCCGAGGTGCCAGATGAGCAAAAACCGCGGGTCGAGGTGCATGTTTCCAGTCCGGCTGTGACGCCTGCGAAAGCGAAAGGGACGTCAGAGACGCAAGCGACGAGTCCGCAGAGTCCCACGGCGAATCTCACTGCGTCTGGTAGCGCAAAATCTTTGAAAGAGAACGTCTCGAGCCCTGTGAACCTTCCGGGGCAGAGCAAATCACTCAACACGTCCACCCCTTCAAGATCTTCCCCCGCCGAGCTGTCACAGCAGCTCGATGCGCCCATGTTAGATACCACCCCATCTCAGACAGACAAGTTGTCGAAACGAAACTCGACGAGGAGGAGCCCGAAGAGTCCTTTGTTGGATGACGAAGACCCAGGAGACTTTGAGCCGGGAGAAGGGTGGGCTACCGTGATCAAGTGAGTCTTGCCTTGTCGTGTTTCGTGCAGGACTAATGTAAACAAGAGGCAGAACCTGATATGAGGCGAGGGCTCCGGTAGAGCCAGTGGAAGTGAATGGGATGGTGTTTAAGGGAGTAGGGGTGATGATCTTGTATCTCTGGATCGTGGGGAGTGTCTACGGATGATGACGGGGACGTATTTTGACGATCTCATGAGGTGGCAGAGACTTTCTTGGTTCATTTCTTCTTTTGTTTTCTAGCATTATCCTTCCACAGCAAAGCATAGTGTACCAACATGGAATGTAGAAAATTCACGATCTCATTCGTTCATTCGCAGCGACTCATAGTGTCCTTTGTAGGATTATTCTTGAAGAACAAGCGTCGCTTCTTGTGCTCGCTCAATCTCCTCTTGGTCATTTGCTTGCCCAACCCACTCGTGCAACCACCTCAAGACCTCATGCTGCGCCCGCGTCAGTCCCACATCCTGCTATGCGATATATGTCACTCACATGCCACTTGATAGAGTTGTGTGGCTTGAGCACCCAGTGATTCTCATCAGGGAAATAGACGAAACGGCTCGGGACGCCTTGTCTATTGCGCATGTCAGTCGGTCAAAAGTAGAAGAAGCTTGTCAAACGTACACCTGGAGAGCGGTGAATGCTCCAAGTCCTTGAGAGTTTTCGAGTCGGTAATCTATGGCCACCTTAGCAATCACCAAAAAAAGATACAAGACACGCACCTTTGCCGCCTTGGATGACGAGCTCGGGCGTAGTCCACTCGATAACATGATTGACTGGGCTCCACTTTTCGTACCCCGCCTTATTGTTGAAAGGTGTCCCAGCAAAGTCCCTACACCACGTCAGCTCGCGCCCGATCAGCCCCAGGCAGACCTACTGAGTCGGGAAATAAATCTCTTCGGTTGAGAAATACGTGGTGACAGTGTCAAACACACCATCATGGCAGACGAGAGCCTTGAACCCAAAGTGATCGTTGTGGCCGTTGATCCAGTTGATCATGTAGCCGCCATAAGATGCGCCGAGAGCGGTTGTGCGTTCCGGGTCAATCTCGGGATACCTGGAAAGGGCGTGTTGGTAACCTGCTAAGAGGTCTTTGAAGGGCTCTGCAATGACTCGTCAGTATGTCCGACATACTGGATATCTTGCACTCACTGCCTCCCCAGTCACCTTGGATAGCATCGGTAAACTCTTGTCCATACCCTGTCGAACCGGTGGGGTTGATGGTCACCACGAAATAGCCTTGGGCTGCAAAGATCGCGGGGTTCCATCTCGTAGACCAACTGTCCTCCCAGGCACCTTGAGGGCCGCCGTGGATGAGGAATGCTAGGGGGTAAGACGTATTCTGGTCGGGTTTCCAGCCATGGGGTTTGATGGCCCATCCCATGACATCTTTGCCTTCGGCACCGGTGAACCAGAATTCTTCGCCAGTATAGTTGTCGAGTCGGCCGGCGAGATGGGCAGCAGACCAGGAAGTGAGTCGGCGCAAAGGATCAGAGGGAGGAGGAATCTTGTCACCATCACCCTCTGATGGGGCGTCGGTAGGCAAGGTAAACAAAAAGTCGTCTGAAGGGGAAACGAGCGATTGCCTGGCGAGTAAGAGCGTCGACTCGGAGAGCGGTGTGAGGGAGGTGGTGGAGCCATTGAAGAGGAGGGGGGTCGGAAGGTGGTTGGGGTGAGAGAGGTGGTAGGGGAGGGTACGTCCATGGTGTTCAGAGAGGAGGTAGAGAGAGTCGGAATCAGTCGACCACTGTGTCTCGTCAGTCTAAGTTGCAACATCTGCAAACGACATACAGAGATATCGCTAGGACTCCTATCCCAAGCCTCGGTCCACCTCTCCGTCTTGCCGCTTTTCAAAGTGTACACGACTACCACTCGGCGATCACTCTCATACCCATCCTTGTTCATCTCCAACCAGGCCAGCTTGCTCTGATCAGGAGAGAATGTGAGGGAAGAGATGGCACCGTGCACATGAGGGGTAATGTTGCGAGGGCGGGAAGAGGTCAAGGAAAAGAGGTATATATCTTGACGGGTGTGTGTGGCCGGGGATAGGTATGGGGGTTTGAGAGCGACGGCTATCTGCTTTGAAGTGAGGGCGTAAGAGGAGGCGTCGATAGGGTCGGTCTGGGAAAAGAGGCCAGTACCGTTGAGTACGTTGACAAATTCGTGTTTACTTTTGACGTCCTTCTTACCCACAAGACCTTTGAGGCTGACGGTACCGAGTGTCCATACCTTGCCAGGGACCCTCCAGGTGTCCCAATGACGGACGAAAAGCTCGTCATAGACCTGAGCGCTGTCGCGTCTGCCTTCGTAGGTCTGGTCATGGAACGCAGTGTCTGTGAATGACCCGTCTGCCCATACTTGGCCGGTAAAAGCCAAAGTGTTGGTGTTGGGCTCGTATTGAAGCGACGTAGGGTTTACGCCCGCAGGAAAAGTCAAGAGCTTGGTGGGTCGTTGCGCGTGCTTTTCATTGTGACCAGCACCCGGTTCGCGAGCCTCTACGTCGATAGAGTACGCGTAGAGCGAGGTATCGTTGAGATAGGCGAGGGTGGTGGGGCTGAGCCAGAGAAAGCCTGTCGCTTCTGCCGGTGTGGTGTTGAAGAGCGAGATGGGCGGGGTGGTGACTGTGGTATTGAGAGGGAGGAGATAGACTGAGCGGGAGATGCTGGCTGTGAGCGTTGCACCTTGTGGGCGGACTCACTGGTCTGTGTCCGGATGCCACTGGTCGACGACGGACAGGGCATGGCGTGCGTCCGGGCTGGCGATGGCGGGGGCCGGCCGGGGGGCTGCGAGCATGTCCTCTGCGGTGAACGCGAGGACGGAGGATGCCGCTGCGAGAGCGAGGAGGGCGTGCTGCATCGTGCGTGGAGAGGAGAGAGAGAGAGATGGAAGAGATTACCCGGCGGCCGCAGCGTGCCTGGGGGCGACGCCGAGCTGTTTCTGTGCGCGCACGGTGTCCCTCTGTCCCTCTCCTCCTCCCGGTCTGTGCACTCGAAAAGCAGCGCCATGTCCCGCCTCTTCTCTGTCTTCTCTTTCCATCCCCGCCATGGCCCCCCTCAGGAGACAGCCTGCCTGCGGCGACCTCCACGCAGGCAACAGGGCCCTCCCCCTCCCAGACACCGCCCATCATGGCCCCCGCAAGAGGAGCAGCGCCGCCGTCCTCGCAGAGAGAGACGATACCAAACGCCTCAAGGAGACAAAACAGGTCCGTCGCTCCATACACCACACCCTACAGACACTCACACTCCAGCCCAGCCCCTCACCAAACGCTCCGAGCCTCTACTTCGCCCCTCCCGCCCTGCCGCCTCTCCGCTCTCGCCAGAGACCCCTACCATCGTCCTCGGCTCTCGCACGCGCTCGATGGACTTTGAGATGTCGACAGTTCCCCTGCTGAACCATCCCAAACCTCCTCGGCGGTTTCTGCAGTCCGAGTATCCTTCATCAGCAGGCCCGAGCGACCTGCAGCCCTCCCACCCTATGGTTCGCGAGTACACATCGATGGGGTGGAGTGCTCACCCATCGTCCCCGCCCTCGCCTGTCGAGTCCCCAAAGAGGCCAGACGGGCTGCCCTTGGGCGAAAGTGGACTCGAGAGGACAAAGAATGGCAATTCGAAATCACCCTGGCACATGATGGTCCAGTCACCCCACCGAGCGTCTCCTGCTCCCAGCTCCATACGCGACCCCGGACCCGCTCCCCAGGCCTCTCTTCCAGGGCCAGCGCCTCGCGCAATCAATCTGGGACATACAGCCTGGCCCTCTATATCCTCCGATGGAGTGTATTCCCCTGTTTGTGGCACACCATCCCATAGCGACCGCTCTTCCCTCTCCGCCCCTGGGTCCATGTCAGACCATGGAGACATTCAAATAATGCGAGCGACCAGCGCGCAAATGCAGGTTCGCCCACCCATGACATTTCTCGCAAATGCCTCGGATGTGTCCATTCTCGCACCTTCCTCGCTGGGCATAGGATATGCCTCTTCAATAGAAGACTCGCCAGGTAGTCTGCTAGAAAGCTTGGAGGCCGAGTGTGTGGATTTGACCGAGAGTGGGTTAAGAGTGTCACAAGCGAGCAACAAGACAGACAAACGGTCGTCCGGGCAGAGCCGCACTCCTTCTCCCGATGCTGTTGAAGCTCTCACCGCTGTCGCTGGACAGCCGGCCAAGGCGTCCCAAGCAGACGCCATCTCGCGAAACGCCTACTTTATTCCCCCGGCACACCACCAGGGTGCTCTACAAATGAACACTGTTCCGAGACTAAAAAGAGCGCACACTTATGATAATCTAAAAACCGTCTATGCTCTGGCGTCTTTTCCCGGAGGACCTATCGAAGTCCAGCCCGAGCAAGAGCCGCCAGCAGAAACCCCACCAAGGCTCGGTACGCCCATCGACCTCGCCCCTCGTTCTGCATCCTCATCCCGCACCTCTGCTGAACCCAGCATGTTTCCCTCTGCTCCTCGCCGATCTCATGCCCCCTCCTTCCGTCCGGTATCCCTGTGCTCCCCGTCAGATGCTATCGAAGAGCTCCTCCCCGTCTCGCCCTTCCAATCGCCCGAGACTTCTAATCGGAGCAAAGGCAAACGGTCGCCATTCCAGCAGACAAGAGAGAGTCTCAAAGGAATCTTGCTACCTGTTAAAGGGCGGTCTCTCATTCAGACATTCGACAGGGCCGAGCATGCGCAGATTGATAAAAGCAGGCAGTCGGCTCTCAAGTCTAAAATCTCGGGCCCACTCGAAGTGTATGGAATAAAAACGGATGTGAGAGAGAGAAAGAAGAGCGAGCGAGAATGGCGAGAAGAAGTGTTGCGGGATGTTGTGGGAAGGAGCCTGAGCTCGCAGTTTAGGTTGGTGGAAGGAACGAAAAGACAGATTGGCGGGTCCGAGGGTGTGCCGAGAATAAGCAGCGGGAGCTCCAAGTCACGACTGCCCATTCCCGGGGCTTTGCTAGCTGGTGTCACACCCAACCCGTCTGTAACCGGGGAAAAAATGGATAGCAGTCGTAACCTACAAGCAGTGATGGGAGAATCGCCTGTACCCAAAAAGGCTGTCGAGTAAGTTGTGCCGTTGTCGACCTTGTATTTGGCTGATCAGGGATATAGTTTCAGAGCACAAAGGCTACCAGGCAAGGGACGACCGACTTCTGCGCCTTTGCTAGCTCCTTGGTCTCCTGCTCGGCGCTCCAAATCGGGACGTACGCTCTCAGAGCTGATCAATCCGTCGATCGTGATCAATCAACCTTCCCCTAAACGCCAACTTGCGAGTGTGCCAGATCCCCGCCCGGCCTCACCTTCGCCAGCTCCCAGACTCGAGAGGAGCAAAAGCGGCAGAATCTCTCGGAGGGCGAGTATATTAAACTTTTTCAAAAAGGACAAGGCCAAGGAGAGAGACGTGCACCAGGTCTCGCCGAAAGCGAAAAAGATGCCGAGTACTACGTTTACCATCACGGCTAGTATTCGATCGTCATTTTTGGCTCTTACAAAGCACCACGTAGGCGATCCGGCCCAGCCTCAGCCCGAGGGACGTAAATCTCCCCGCTCTTCAAGCGCCACACCTCCCTCTACAATCCCTCTTCGTACCCCCATCCATACCAACCCTGACTCTGTGTTTCGCCGGCCGCCTTCAAAAGCCGAGTCGAGTTTCGAGATGACCTACCATCTGCCAGAGGTCGAAGGCGGTCGGCCTCTACTGGAAGAGCTGATGGCACGGGATGAAGCGTTGGGGGCGCTAGAGGGGAGAAGGAAAAGCAGGGGAGAGACGTATGGGATGCCGGGGATGAATAAGGTGTTGGAGTGGAGAAAAGATCTCGAAGAGGGGTCGTAGAGTAATTCTTTTCCTGTGTATAATGACCGTCTTGGGTCCTTTTGTATTTTCATGTTTTAACGAATTCTATACGCTTACGATACTTTTGTTAGTCATGCATACAACGACATGTGATGAGATGATCTAAGAGTCTATTGAGTCTTGTTGGAAATCTCGCTGCTGGTTGGGTCATCGGTAGCGTCTGGAGCCTTGACCTTGTAGTCTGATTCGACCAGACCGGCAAAATTGTCGGTCTCGGACTTGAAGGTGAAGACTTTGGACTCGGCATTGCCCCAGGGCTATGCGTTATCAGCACAGTCCTGCTCCATGAGCTGAAGGCGTACTCTAGTAGACTGCTGTCCATCGGCAATGTATCTCAAAATGTCCCCGTGCGCCACCACAACGATTTCCTTCTCTGGCCTCTCTCTCAACCATACCCTCATTTGTCTGGCGCGCTCTATCGCGTTTCGAGGATCAAAGATACCCTGTTTGGAGGCGTACTCGGGGGAGAGGCGGGAGAAATCAAGAGAGGAAAAGATACCGTCGTTGGAAGCTTTGAGAGCGGATAAGGGATGAGTCGGTGTGTCACAGGGCCAGCTAACGAGTCTGTCAGCCTTGCAAATGGGCAAGTGAAATCACGCACTGGCCGACTTCTTGCAAGAGGTCGAGTATGATGACAGGCTTTCCCTCCTTTTCGAGCCGGAATTTTAGTTCAGGGTAGCCGAGTAGCATGGTCTCCAGTGGCCTCCGGAGCTATACACCTGTTAGCGGTGTGTGGGAAAGCGAGGCAGGGGTGTGGACTTGCACACGAGGATACAAGCAGGTCGGCAGTCTTTTGTACGCCATTCTTGGTGATTTCATTGAGCTCTCGGGATTGGTCTTGTCCCAGCTTGGTCAATGGCGCATCGGCGACTGAGAGGGGTTAGGATATGAGAAGCCGCTGCGCCGGGACATACTCTGGTAGTCGTTGGCCACGCTGAGCACGCGATGTCAGCGATGTGGAGCGAGGGGTGGACTGGGCTTACTTGTGCTCGGCCTGGGCGTGGCGGGTGAGGTGGATGCGCTTCTCGGTGGCGGGGGCTGTGTTGGACATTTTGGTGGATTACGGGCTCAGCAGGGAGATGAGAGGATGACTTTAGAATGTGGCAGAGATGTGGTGAGCATCGTCATTGCATTGTGAGATCGGAGACCGCCGCAGAGAGGTGGCCAGTGGCCGAGTAGAGTTGCGTCACCGTATTCTTCTCGCTTGAGGCCTCCACTTTCACGGCTGGATAAGCACTCTGGGCCGTAAATATATATATGTAAAACTGCCCATGCCCCGCCTCCCCTCGCCCACCGCCGCCCTCCTCGCCCGCATCGTTCTCCCCAGGACCCCCCTTCGCCTACACAGCTTCTCCACAACAGCCCGCACTCCACAACTAACACGCACCATGAAGGCCATTCTCATCAAAGGCGGCACCGGCCCCGCCGACAGCCTCTATCTTGGCCAGGAGCCCACACCAGAGCCCAGCAAGGGCGAGGTCCAAGTCAAGGTACACCCGAGTCAACTACACAGGCATCGCTGACACTGGTCCCAGATCAAGGACTTTGGCCTTAACAGGATGGATATACTCCAGAGAGAGGGCAAATACCCACTCCCGCCTCAAGCATCAAAGACCATCTTGGGTGTCGAGTATTCTGGAGTGGTCACCCAGCTGGGCGAGGGATCCACAAAGTGGAAAGTAGGCGATGAGGTGTTTGGCCTGGCCTATGGAGTAAGCAGCTCCCTTAGTCTACATTCAGACGTACTGACTTGTTGACAGGGCGCTTATGCGGAATACATCGTCTCTCCAGAGATCATGCTTTTGGCCAAGCCCGAAAAGCTGAGCTGGGTAGAGGCCGCTTCGATCCCCGAGGCTTGGATGACTGGTGGGTACACCGTCATCACAGTACGCATGTGCTGACAAGGACGCAGCTACCCAGGCTCTGACGCTTGAGGCGCCTCTCAAAGAGGGGCAAAACGTTCTCATCCATGCCGGTGCTTCGGGTGTGGGTCTCGCAGCCATCCAGATCGCTTGTAGGTGTGGTTTGCTCATGTCAGTGAAACTGCTCACCCGATGGCAGTGCATGCTCTGGGAGCTGGTAAAGTTTTCACGACCTGTGGTTCGGACGAAAAGGTCGCTTTTCTGAAGAACCTCGGGCATTCCGACCGTCTGCACGTCTTCAATTATAAGACTCAGAGTGGGTATCCATTTCACATGACACGCGTCCGCTGACATCCATCAGACTTTGAGGAAGAGATCAAAAAGATTGACCAGGGTGTGGACCTCATTATCGACTTTGTTGGCACTCAATACTATATCCAGAACATCAATCTCCTCCGCCTCGATGGGACCCTCTACTTCCTTGCCTTCCTCTCGGGCGCCAAGTTCCCCGAAGGCGCCAGCATTGCACCCATCTTGGGCAAGAGGTTGACCCTGAAGGGATCTACGCTGAGGTCAAGAAGCGCAGAGTACCAGTATGCATTGCTCAAGACGTTTGAGAGCAAGGTACTGCCAAAGATACTGGACGGAACTATGCAGGCAAAGGTGCACGATGTGAGTAGCTGGCCGTAATGTGGGATGCGGCTGATGGATATCGCAGGTGTATCATTGGACTGATGTCATTGAAGCCCACAAGGCCATGGAGGCAAACAAGAATAGCGGAAAGGTGAGTCATCGTTCCATGGCATAGGCGCACAGCTAATCCATATGCTAGATTGTCATCGAGATCAAGGAGTAGGGCATTCACATGTTCCAGTATGAAGGGTAGAATCTTGTTGATGCGGGCTGTCGGTCACAACATCTCGTATCAATATCATGCATCCTTTTCGACCATATCTGACGACGATCGCTACCGCTTTATCAGCTACCCATGTCTACCTATTTGTCGCGCTGCAAGTCATGATGTTGAAGGAGATTGGAGCCGTTGCGACCGGCGAACGATTCAATGTCTACTCGTGCGACATCGTATTAGCATCCAAATGCACCCATGCCAAGCAGCGGCATTGCTTAGAGATCATGTAGCCGATATATCGGCCTCCTGCTGCTCCTCTGCTGGCAGCTGCACCAAGAAGAAGCCGCATGGCTTACGTAATTGGCCGAGATGCTCCGCCAAGTCGTCGAGATCTGCGTTGACTCGGTTTGCCTGCTCATAATTTGCGCGGATATCTTTCTTCCTCTTACCCGCAACACCAAAACATTTTTTCAAAATGCCCATGCTGTCAGTACTCATCCTGCATGTGATGTGCTCCGCTGACTCTGCCCAGGGCCGACCCATCCAAGCGTTATGCCGCTTTCAAGCCTGTCCCCTTCCCCAACCGCACTTGGCCCGACAAGACTCACAAGAAGGCCCCCATCTGGCTCAGTACCGATCTGAGAGATGGAAACCAAAGTCTTGCCAACCGTCCGTCCTTGTTTGCTCAAGCTTGTCCCCTGCTGACTTTGATTCTAGCCATGACGAATGAGCAAAAACACAGATTCTTCAGACATCTTGTCCAGATCGGCTTCAAAGAGATCGAAGTGGCCTACCCTGCCGCTTCAGAGACCGACTTTTCTTTCGTGCGAGAGCTGATTGAGAACAAGGAAGTCCCTGACGACGTGTGGATTCAAGTAAGCGGGAATGCGGTGACATGCTCAGCATGCTAATGCCCTAATTAGGTTCTTACGCCTGCCCGCGCCGACCTCATTACAAAGACATTCGAGGCCGTAGCCGGCCTCAAGAATGTCATTGTCCACATGTACAATGCTACATCATGCCTTTTCCGCGAAGTAGTCTTCAATGCCGACCGCGAGCAGACTATCAAGTGAGATTCCTCCTACTCGAGCGACATCAGCTAATGTCCAAAATCAGGCTCGCTCGAGAACACACCCAGCTCGTTCGAAAACTTTCTGAAGAGTACGCTGCCTCGCACGGAACAAATTTCCGATACGAATACTCTCCAGAAACCTTTTCTCAGACCGAGACACCCTATGCGGTCGAAGTGTGTGAAGCGGTCAAGAAGGCTTGGCTCTCGGGAGAGTCAAGTGTATGGGCGGACGGCAGAAAAGAAGAGAGGATCATCTTTAACCTTCCTGCCACTGTTGAAGTCGCTACTCCCAACTGTTTTGCCGATCAGGTGAGTCGAGCGACTTTTGAGGGACAGGCTAACCCGAAACCAGGTTGAAATATTCTGCAACAGCATCTCGGAGAGAGAAAAGTGCATCATCTCCCTCCACACCCACAACGACAGAGGATGCGCTGTAGCTGCCGCCGAGCTCGGTGTTCTTGCCGGTGCCGACCGAATCGAGGGAACTGTCCTTGGCAACGGTGAAAGAACCGGTAATGTCGACCTCGTCACTCTTGGCCTCAACTATTACTCTCAGGGTATGACACCAAACCTCGACTTTTCAGACATGTTTTCAATCATCGACACTGTCACAGAGTGTACTGGTCTCCCAGTACACCCCAGACACCCTTACGCGGGAGAGCTCGTCTTTACCGCCTTCTCTGGTAGTCACCAGGATGCGATCAAGAAGGGATTCGAGGCGCAGACCAAGAGGGATCAGGCGGGCGATGTGGTGTGGAGCATGCCTTACCTCCCTATCGACCCAGCCGATGTCGGTTGCACTTATGAGGCTGTCATCAGAGTCAACTCTCAATCTGGCAAGGGCGGGTAAGTAGGATCGTGTGCACAAGATGATTCAGCTGACGTTCCCTGTAGTATCGCGTACATTGTCAAGTCTGCTCTCGCTCTCGACCTTCCCCGCCGTATGCAAATCGCTTTCTACAAGGTTGTCCAGGGCCTGTCTGAGGCTACTGGCAAGGAGATGACCTCCAAAGACATCACTGGGGCTTTCCGCCACACTTACCACCTCGGTGGCTCCATCTATGACGGTCGCCTTATTCTCAAGGGCTTCACTGCTACCGACCTCCGAGGCTCTCGCCCCGGGTCTATCACTGGCACACCGGACCTTTCACCCACTAGGTCAAGGTCTCAGACTAGGCATATGGCGCCTCTTAGTCTCGCCCAGGGCGTAAACAACTCTGTTGAGCCCAGTCCTGACAGGGGCCTTGACGCCAACCTTCCTCAGATGTCCAAGCGCCTCACAGCCAAGGTCGTCGTCGACGGCAAGGTGCACGAGGTCATTGGTGAAGGAAACGGTCCCCTCTCTTCATTCCTCAATGCCCTCGAAAGCGACCTCGGCATCGTACTCTCCGTCCGAGAGTACACTGAGCACGCTGTGGGTACTGGATCTGATGTCAAGGCTGCTACCTACGTGGAGCTCATTCCCGTTGATGCTGATGCCAAGGACAAGACCCAGGGAGGATATTGGGGTGTCGGTGTGGACGCAGATATCACCGCGAGTGGTCTCAAGGCTATTGTCAGCGCTGCCAACGGTTTCCTGGGCCAAAATGCCATTCCCAAGAGCGCTTGAAGGGGGTTTAGAGGTCTGGGAGGGTACAGGTAGTGATTGATGGCGTATGTATTCTATACAAATCTTGCACATGAATCCTTTGATGAACATATCTGGGCCATCGACGCGAAGCTCAGGATCGATGGTGCCTACCAACGCGTACATGTGTTTTCTCGCCGCCACATATTGGCCAAGTTGCCGGTGATCGGGTATCTGTGGACTCGGTCTACACGGTCTACAGCCCTACAGGTGATGACGCAAAGCAGCTTGATTAGAGATGATACGCTGACTCGAATGAGCGCGTGCCTTTAAATTCCCACTTTTCGACTTTTTGAAGTAGCCCGCGAGTGTACTCGGCCATTCAGCGTTCGTCAATTATATATTGACACCCCTCCCCTTACTTTTTCACCCCCTCGCAAACCCAACCCACCGCCATGTCCGACCAACGCACTGCCACCGTCTCCAGAAATACAAGCGAAACGAGCATCACTTGCACCATCGACCTCGACCATGTGCCCGGCGTCACAAAGCAGGTGATCGAAGTCAGCACCGGTATTGGATTCCTCGACCACGTAAGGCCATCACTTTGCAGAATACAGCTGGAGCTCACAGCGGATGCAGATGTTTACAGCGCTCGCCAAGCACGGGGGCATGTCCCTCCAGATGAAGTGCAATGGGGACCTCCACATTGATGACCACCACACTGCCGAAGATTGTGCTTTGGCGCTTGGTGCGGCCTTCAAGAAGGCTTTGGGAGAAAGGAAGGGTATCAAGAGATATGGATATGCGTATGCCCCTCTAGACGAGGCAAGTCGAATGTGCAATCTTGAGAATGGAAAGCTGATGTGGGTGTAGTCTTTGGCTAGGGCTGTGATTGACATTTCTTCCCGGCCATTCTTCATGTGCCACCTCCCTTTCACCCGTGAAAAGGTCGGAGACTGTGAGTTGAGGGCCAAGTCTTTGCAAGAGCGCGCTGACGGCTTGATAGTATCTACGGAAATGGTCTCTCACCTTCTCCAGTCTTTTGCCTTTGAGGCCGGTGTCACGCTTCACGTCGACCTCATCCGCGGAGATAACAACCATCACATGTGAGTCAAGGTATCATCTAGAGAGCTCTGACTGATGTACCGATTCCAGTGCCGAGGCGGCCTTCAAGGCTCTCGCGTTGGCTATCCGAATGGCAATCAGCCGGACCGGTGGTGACGATGTCCCCAGTACCAAGGGTGTACTTGCTTTGTAATGAAATAGGTCAAGGATGGTGACATATGCGTTATGCACTTTTCATGTGCATATATAGAACAGTCATTAAATGGGTAAAGCTACTATGTATGTACTATCACTGTTCACATGAATGTTCCGCCCCTCGGCACCTGCCCTACTGAATGTTGGTATACAAATCTAGCGCTCCGGCTACCTACGAGAAGGAGAGCGAGAGTCTTCTCCACTACTCGCGTTCAGCTCGAATGCCTCCTCCTTGGTCAACTCGCGGAAGGGCGTGCCCGAGCGATTGGAAACAAGCGCAAAGCGGGTCTCGGGGGTCGACAGAGATGAAGCGTCAGCCGAACGCGTCGTGCTGTCGACGGTTTGTGGGGGAGACGAGGGTCGCTTAGAGTAGTAGCGTCCAGCCTAGAGATGGGATGAGCAACAGCGAGCAAGAACAGCATGGGACGCACCTGAAGGGTGATGAGGCCCGTAAGCATGACCGCAGCCATGATATTGCTCGTAGCGAGGTCCCTTACGGCAGTCTGGAGGGCAGGGTAGGTGGGGTGACCTGAGAGGTCTTTGGGCAGGGGGTTGGGCATGAGGGCGATTGCTGAATCATGTCAGCCACGGCTTCTGTCGAGGGCAAAGACGATACCTACCTGGGAGAACCTCGTTGATCTGGTAGTAGATGATGCTTGCGATGAGCACTGCAAGACTTTGTCAGCCGATTCGTTGACACAGCAGCTCCGACATACCGAGGCTGCCTCCGTCAAAGAGGACCTCTCCACCCTTCCGGTGGTACCCCTTGTATGACCTCCCGCCGATGCTGAGGACGAGGATGATGCCGACGAGGATATATGCCCAGCCGAGGCCCCTTGAGGAGCTGGAGAGCAGCGAGTAGTATGTGATCGACTTGTGAATGGCTTCTTCGGTGACGGGTGTCTTCCAGAGGACGTTGTGGTCAGCAATCCAGTGGGTGAATGTTGTACCTGCGAGGGGTGAGCTGGGCCGGGCTGCAGAGAGAACGTACCCAGGAGGAAGCTGGTGGACATTGTGATGAAGCTGGTGCGCCAGACCATGGTGTATGTGGTGAGAGAGGGGCGTGATACATTAGGAGTAGTAGGGGCATAGATGGCGGCGATGTCCGCGGTGTGTAGCTGGTATTGATTCTTTTGTTGTTCTTTTGCTGCTTACGGTGTTCCCATCCACCATGCGTCGCGCTTCCGTCCTCCGCCCGCACGGCCCCCTCCCCCGCTCCCTCCGCACCACGGCGGCAGCCCGCCAGCCACGTGGCCCCACCCCGCGCAGGTCGTTCGCCGTCGCCTCGGCCTCGGCCCCCCACCCACCGCCGCCCCCCACCCACCCCACCCGGCAGCACCTCCCCCCCAGCCCTCCCGGCCAGACCTCCACTCCCACGCCACATCCCTCTCGCCGCCCGCCCCCAACACCTCCCCCCTCCCAGACACCCTCCAGCCAGTCTACACACACCTCGCCACCACTTTCCTCCCTCGCAATCAGCCCCTCTCCCCCGACCCTTCTTCCTCGCCCTTCACCCATGTCATTTCTTTCCCCCAAGGATCCCAGGGGAGACCGCATACAGACCCTGCTGACGAGAGAGAAGACCAGCCGGGTGCCCAGTCTCCAGAGACAGTCATGGCACTCGCTTCTCCTTTCGAAGGAGGAGAGTTCTATGTCCAAGACGCCGTACAGAAGATGGCAAACGAGCTAGATGCCGATGTCGTGAATCTCGACCTGGTTCTTGGTGTAGCCCTCGATGGGGCCGCATCTCCCTTGGGTATCGGTGCGTCTCCTGCCAATTGAATAACGTGGAATGCTCATCAATCACCAGAGGGTCCTCCTGCCTTGCCGTCCGCTATCAACCCGGTGTATCAGCCCGCACCCTCTCCTTTCCCGTCTTCGCCATCTCGAAAGTCACAACAGGATCTCGAAGGCGACGACCCCATGGCAGGTCTGGGAGTCGCCCACGTCCCCGTGGCTGTCCTGGGCGGAGGTGGTGGCTTCCCCGGTCTTCCTATGCCTGGGATGGGCGGAGATCATGCCGACGAGAGTCTGTTTCCAGGTCACATCAGCGAAGAATGGATCTCGTTCTTCTCTCGTATCATCAACACCCAGACGTCGTCCGAGACGACTGGCAAAAAGAGGATCATTCTTCTGGACTCGTCCGTGGCCATGAGCAAGACGTTTTCGCTTTGGTGGCCATCTTTGGTGGAAGCCGTACAGCGAAGGAGAAGAGGTCAGCTTATGGCAGGGAGAAGGGCGCGCGCTTCAAAGGGCACCGCACCCGAGCTCTTGTACCCCACGACCATCGTCCTCCAATGCGCCCCGTCCCCTCTCCTCTCACAAACATCCCCGTCTTTGTTTACGTCAACAGACATAGAAGATAAAGAGATTTCGGATGACGCGGAAGGTGCAGAAGACGAAAATTCAGATCTCGACTCGCAGGCAAGCGCTGTCATGTCGGCTCTCGAAGACAAGCTTAGAGGTTTGGGATTCAATGTCCATCACCAGGTCGAAGTTGTCAAGCCGAAAGCTGGGCCTAGATTATGGTGGGGAAGCGAAGAAGGTGATGTAGCAGGGAGAAAAGAAGGCAACCAGTCCAGGCTTCGAGGCATCCTGGGTAAAGAGTGCGTATACTTATCCTCTTGTGTTGGAAGCGTCACTCATGTCCGCCAGCCTCGCTTCCATACTGCCATCATTCGATGGTGAAGCTCGTGAATCACAGCCCGACCACCCTCTGAAACGTCTCCTGGGTCGTTTAGGCCCTTCCCGCGCCGATCCTCCCGAGAACAATGCCTCGCCGCTTGTCTGGAAAGCCTACCCCATCATTCCCCTTCAACGCAATTTTGATGCCGAAAAAGAAAGCCGAGCATCGCGTAAGCGTTTGTATACTGCTGCGTTGCTCACGCGGGCGGTCCATCAGCTTGGCGGAGAGTTGAAGGACCCACTGCAGGTCTTACAGGTCAGTGAGACGACCGGCATGCCCTTGACCCGAAAGACCGAGCTGAGCGGCATTGGCAAGGGCTGGGGTAACAGCGTAGTATCTTGGTCTAATGCTTTGCATATGGCTAGTATTGCACTCGGGAAAGAGGCGATCAGGCAAGGCAAAGACTTGAAGACTGCCTCTGTCTCTGTCACATGGGCAGACATCATTGATGCGTCAAAGACTATGGCCGAAGAAAAGGTGCAAGCGGCCAACCAAATATCCAGCCACTTGTCCATGGGTGGCAAGAAGGGTTCCAAGACGACCCAAGGTCCCGAGGTCGAAAGTCAGCCTCAGCCTCTAGTTGATCCCGTCGTTGAAAATCTCAAAAAGGATAAAAAATTGGGACAGCACGAAAAGCGGTTACTGAACTGTATCGTCGACCCCACCAAGCTCGCCTCGACCACATTCAAAGACGTTCATCTGCCCGATAAGACTGTGGATGGTATCAGGTCGATGATTTCCTTGCCGCTTCTCTATCCAGAGGCATTCAGAGGAGGTGTCTTGAAAGATCACGCAACAACCGGAGCACTTCTTTTCGGCCCACCAGGTACTGGTAAGACGCTGTTGGCTAGAGCCGTAGCAGCGGAAAGTGGTGCTAGGATGTTGGCGGTGCAACCGAGTGATGTGAACGACATGTATGTTGGTGAAGGCGAGAAACTGTAAGTCTTGTCGCCTTTATGTACGTGTAGTCACTGATGAAGGGTCAGTGTAAAGGCCGTCTTCTCCCTCGCCCGTCGATTGTCTCCTTGTGTCGTGTTTCTCGACGAAGTCGACGCCCTCTTTGGTGCTCGTACTTCCCGAGGATCATCCGGAAGCATGTCGCACAACCTCATTCTCACTGAATTCATGCAGGAAATGGACGGTCTCTCTTCTGCGATCGCCAACAAAGACAAACGTGTCGTAATCGTGGGTGCTACCAACAGACCCTTTGATCTAGATGATGCGGTCCTGAGAAGATTGCCCAGGAGGTTGTTGGTCGATCTGCCCGGGGTGGAGGGTCGAAAAGCCATCTTGGGAATCCTGTTGCGCGGAGAGGAGATCGGAGACGACGTGGATCTGGACAAGCTTGCCAATGACACCGATGGGTTCTCGGGGTCCGATCTCAAGCGTAAGCCCGACCCGTTCCCATGCCCAATTTTACTAATGTTTCGCAGATTTGTGTGTTAGCGCTGCCATATCAGCCGTCAAGGACACCGTCCCCATTCCCTGGCTCAACGGCTCGGGCATACCATCGGCACCTACTTCCGCCTCCGATATTGCAGCTGAAAGCTCCCTGATGGGTCGCGCTGGTAGCGGTGGTGGACAGGCCGAAGTGTTGGTAGTCCCGACCGACGGCGGTGGAGGAGGCAGGAAGAAAGCCAAGGTGGTTAAAGAGAAGGCGCCAGCGTCTGCCACGACTGCCCACGTTGCTTTCCCACAGGTGGCAGCTCAGCCGGAACCGGTTGAAGAGAGCAACGTTGGCGAACAGGAAGGTGTCGGGCAGGTCCTTCAAGAAGAAACAGAGGCTGGTGAACAGCGCTTGTCTGCCGAAAAATCTAAAGCCAACCTCCTGGATAATTCTGAAGCCCCCGCTCTCGAATCGGCCTCCGAGAACACTGCCGAGATCCAGCTTCCGAAGAGAGTGTTGCTCAGCAAGCACTTCAAGGTTGCGCTTTCAGAAATCAGACCAAGTGCTTCTGAAGAGGGTTCTTTGCCAGAATTGAGAAAATGGGCAGAGCAATTCGGAGAAGGCGGCAAGAGAAAGGGAAGAAAGAGTGGATTCGGCAAAGGCTTCGGGTTTGGAGACCTGGAGGAGACGAAAGGAAGGCAGGAGGGAGGATACGGAAGAGTGAGGGGCGATGAAGAGTAGAACTCAAGCCGCACCAGTAGACAATCAGCATGATATATTCATTAGATGAGCATTGAGCGCCATGGTAGCATGTGCGTTGTAAATAACGAGGTGCATAAGCATGTACTACCTATACATATAAGATACACGTTTGTACAGCCCAAGTACAAGTACATGGCAGTGTGAGTACAAGTCACTCATTCTGATTCATGAGCTTGAATTATTGAATTTTAGAAGGATGGATGGAATGGTATGTGAGATAATCTATCGTGGCGAGTCATCAAGCGGTCCTCTTGGTTTGCGCCGTAGGACTATCACCCCCACGTCAATAGACAAGGAATCAAGAGCCCCAGCCTCGCATTTCTCTATCAGAATCTTGAACTATGATAGGCGTCAGCAGATGACGGCACCGCACCGCACCCAATCACAGCTTACAATCTCTTCGATGGTGTTTTCTGAATGGCTGATGTCCATTCGCCCTTTGTCACGCAGGACTTTTTTGAGATGAGGTTCATAAACTGACTGTCGTCAGCTGATTGCATTGACCCCCTTGTTGAGGAGATTCCTTACCTGAGTGAGTATACATTGCAATCCTACGCGCATAAGTGCCTCTGTCGATCCTCCCAGACTTAAACTCCCGCCAGGCCGGGTGACAGAGTCTGCGAATCTTTACACCTTCACTCGCCCAAGCCATGATCTCCTTTTTCGAATACTGGATGACTTCTCCCGATTCAGCCTCACGGGGGGTCGGAAAGGTAGACGACGAAAGAGAGATATCAGCCATTTCTACGCCAATCTCCATATCAGCGACATCGCTGTCATTCATCTGATCATGCCCTTCCACCGCCTCTTCTCCTGCATCCCGAAGAATCTCCCAATCTTTGTTCTTGTCGAGCACGCTCTTCACGCTCTCTAGAGTACGCGGCCAATAGGGCACATCTACTAGAGTGGGCGCCACATGTGTTCTGATCTCACCCAGAGATACCAGCCGTTGAACAGCAGGCGAAAGCGCCTGTGACATTCGCTGAAACATGTCCGGGACGTAGCTTTTTCCGCCAGGCTGTGAGGGGGGCACGGGAGGTGTGGTGGCATGCTGCTGGGTATGAGGGAACATTGTTGGGCGAATTTCGGTGAGAGGAGTGCTGATGCCACGTGCGAATGAGCTGCTATGGGGAGATGTGGGGAGCGAAGCGGGAAGACGGCAAGGAGAAGCCCTTGGAGGAAAAGACTGTTTACGAACATGTTCGTCCACCTCTTGCCCCACCCGAGCCACAAAGGGGAGGACCAAAATCCCACCCGCTCTGAACTCAATTGAACGGGCTTCCAGAAAACGGACAAGATCCTTTCCGGAATGTTTCTCTTTCTCCTCAGCTTGGCTTGTAAACGAGTACAAAGGCCTGGGCGGTATCTCGCCCTGCAGCTTTGTCAATTCTCCGGCAGAGCAGACGGCAAAATCTACAGAAGCAGCCGACAAAGCGATGGAGGCAAAGGCAGCAAAAGAGAATGTCGTGAGAACATTCGGGGCAGATCTAGAGCTGCTTTTCTGATATGATAGAGGATGGGAAGCGAGATTGGCCTGTAGTATCCGAGTATCAAAGTCGGGAGTTGCTTGATGAACAACTGTGAAACTGGTTTGCGAGCGGGAATGTGCTTGTTGAGAGAGTGCTTTGATAGACTCTTCCAGAATAGGATTGGGTATCTCTCTATGACAACCATATCTGTACTCGCTTTGAGCACTCTGAAGAATTTTGACAACGAAGAAGAAGACTCACTCAGCCAAATGATAATGCTCCTTCACTTCCAGAAGCTCCATCTTTCCTTTGATAGCCTGTGACATGACCTCCAGAATTGGTACCTCAAAGCTCCATTCCGATTCTGTCACATGCTCTTTTTGTTTTCCCCGGCTCCCGAGTGCAATCGAGCTACCCCCCAATCCGCCGCTAGTGACCTCGAGCTCCAGCCTTGGAGAGACTTTGTCGCTCAGGCCCTTCAACCGAGCTTCGCCTCCCGAGCCACCAGCTCCAGATAGGGAAGAGCTCCCGCTCTCCATCATACGCTTCTGGAGAGCAGCAGACAGTTCAGGGCCGAGGTAGGAAGAGAGGTCAGAGGCATCGGGAATTACTTGATGCAGCCTATGGTGTCGCGGTGTGGTATGGATTTGGTCGGAAAGATTACGGGCTTTGACTGTGGCCCGGCGCGACGCTGCTATGGTCTGGTGCTGAGATTGGACAGATGAAGAGGATCTAGGGGATGAGGTGAATTCCCGGGGCTCCGAACCGTCAAAGATGACACCGCCACGATTGTTGAAAGAGTCATCGTTGTGATGGTAGGATGATGGTCTCGCACCAGAAACAGCAGAGTTGTCGCCAGGTAAGGCGCTCGGTTCGCTGGCATCGCTCTTGCGCCTTTCCATGGCCAGAAGGGGCACACTGGGGGCACTAGAGCTTCTGGGGATACCGTCAGGTCTAAAGTCTTCCCCGAGACTCTCAGTCGGAGGCGCAAACCCGGCAAAAAAGTCACCATCTCGAGGGGGATGCCGAATATGATCGACAGGGGGAAGCGGCGGTGTAGTGAGCAAGGCGTGCGAGTCGAAAGTAAGGGGCTTAAAGGGAGATGGTAGGTTGTCTTGCCTCTCGAGGAGATCGCCACCAGACTTGCTACTCCTTCTCAGCTGCAGATTTGGTCTCGTCTCGAAGCGGTTTTTGCCTAAAGCTTTCCTGTTTGCCGCCGCTTGCCTGAGAACATCTCTCAGGCCAAGAGAGCTAGCTCTTCCGATGGCCACTGTCAACATGTGGTAGGGAATCTCCTCAAAATGGTCGTCTCTATGTCGCCTGTGGTGAGCATGGCTGGAGGACGGTAGATTGGGCCAGGCTTTGTTCTGCGTATGGTGGGAGTTGAGAAAGAAGTGACCTGGCGGCTCATAATGATGCCCAAAGTGCGGTGAAATGTTGGTCGACGTCGCCGTTCCGGATGAAGACAGACTTCCGGCTGCATGATGTGGGGAATGACTCGAGGGCAGAGTGGACGCATGATAGCCTTTTGCCTGGTGTTGGTGTGGCGGTAAAGGCACTGCCGGGGATGCGTAGTGGCTGGGGGGCATTTGGGAATAAAAATCTTCGTCATGACCCAAAGGAGAGCTGCGAGAGCTGTGGTGCTGAGCCTGTAGTGATGGGTAAGGATGAGAGTTCATCGTAAGGTCGGTTCAATCCTGGTGGTCGACCAAGGCGATCAGAGTGCTATCGTGGTATGGCTGTAGCAAAAAAGACCTATGACTTGATCAGAAAGCGACCAGCCAAATAAAATTATGTGCTCACGGTTTAGAGGGGTGCTATGAAAGCAAGAGATAGGAGGGCGTCTTGGAAATACCTGGAGTAGGAGGAGGCTGTTGGCATGTCAGGTTGAGAGCAAGGTACCACTATTGGGCCATTTGCAGGATGGTGAGCAAACGATGAAGGGGTGGGAGTGAGGGGACTGACGAGGGTGTGGAATCGCGAGGACGACAATGCAGCAGAGCTGGACGGCGCAGGGACTGCCTTTCGGGTGGTGGCGAGGGCTTCCCTTTGTGCGTCGCCCCTATGTTTTGGGCGCAAGGTGTGTTTTGAGCAGCGGATGGAAAGAGGAAGACGGGATGCAGGGCGATGCATACCAGTCCAGTCAGCCACCGTCAGCCAGATCTGTTGCAAGGCGTCCTTTGGGTGTCCCCGAACACAGCACACAGTCACCGCGTGTGCCCACTCACCGTCGCGACGCCCCCACGGGCCACCGACAACCTCGGCACCCATTTAAGAGACATCATGATGAACCGGATTGTGTAGAGTGTTCAATTTACATAGGCTGGGTCAGACCCACAGTTGAATAGCTAGGCTCGAGACCGCCTGGGAATCGTGCTTACGTGAGACGTGTCCTACTCATTTGTATCAGGCGTCACTACAGTATTCAGATGACAACTGGTAGGCTACATACATGCGTCTGACAGGAAGCACGTCACAGTCCATCCTTCGCTTGACTTTCCTCCTACACCCGCCTATCATATCTTGCTTCCCTGATTCTCACAGTCTGCACTAGCCTGTCCAACCTCTCCTCTCTGGCAGCCAGCCGCCTCTCTTGCTCCTCAAACATCTTCTCCAAGATGGACCTATCCTTGTCGCCCTTTGTGACCTCGTTCGTTTCCCCTCGGCCAGGTCGATTTCGGTCTTGAAGCTCGCGGCCAACGAGAGACGAGATGGTGTTGGGATCGATTGTAGAAAGGAGACGGAGTACCTTGCTGAGCTGTTCGGTGTCTACCAGCTCATTGACATATCCGTTGTCCTTATCGAAGATGTGTTCCGCAGCCCTCTTGTGAGAGACTGGGGCTGAAGAAGGGACACGCTCCAGCTCCTTGGTAGTGCTAGTGTCCGGCCTGGCGCTCACCGACCGTCCACCATTCAGTCGCCTGAGGGCACCAGTTGGAGTAGAGTCTTGACCTCCGCTCTCTCTTATCTCTTCGACAGCGCCTAATCCCGCTCCAGCCCCTACACTCGCCATCATGGAGCCGAGATCCATGGTGCTGTTCGCCCGACGATGCAACCTGCTTGCGGGGGGACCAGATGAGAATGATACGGAGTGGCGGAGCGAACTCGAGAGTTGCTTAGGTTTTGGCTTTGGGAGCGGGGTGGACGCGGAGCAGATGTTGGTAGTAGGGGCAGAGGGCGCTGATAGCTGATGGTCTATCTTGGGGGAATGTCAGGCGCCAGCATGGGGTTGACAGCCTTTTCGGACAACTCACTCTCCAAGAGGGGCCAGCTAGCGTTCCCAACAAGTTTTCAAGATCCTGTGGTCTGTCAGATGCGGGTGTCTGTGGGCAGGAGGGTGCGCACCTTTACGTATTGCTTCTGCTTCTCGTTTTCCGTCAACTTTGCTTCATTATCCCTAGTAGACGATTAGCATCTGTCCATTGTCGAAAGCTCGCTTGCTTGCCTTTGGGTCACGCTCAACAGCTCTTCTAAAGTCAAGACCTCTTCTGACAATCTCTCCACTTCTGGACCAGTGGCCTGTTCGATAAGGGTCTCCAATTCTGATATTCTGATGCGCAGCTGTCGAGAGGGATTATTGGTGGGCGACTGACGGTATCATCGGGTACTCACCGAGTTGTTGGTCTTGTTGAGCCCGTCATTAATCTTCTTCAGACTTGCACACTATGAAGATCAGTCGCCTGCCGCTGGTAGGTCATGTGTTGTGACGCATACTTCTTTCTCCATCGATACGTCCCCGTCCTCCGCCCCCTCCCCCATCATGATCACAGACCCGCGTTTGACCAGACTGGGTGTAGCGGAAGTCGACAGTCTTTTTGCCCGGCTGGCAGCAGTAGTAGGTTGCGTCGTCATTGAGGAGGCCATGGCGCTGTGAGAACGTGGTGCTGGAATAGAAAATGATACGGCAGAGTCGTAGCGAGGGGATGGGAGAGGCAGAGAAGGAAGGGCCATGCTATTAGCCTACAGAAAGTCAAAAGCAAGGAACACTTGTGGTTGCACTGCGAGATGTTTGTTGCCGCGTTCCTCACTCAACGCAACACACCTCCGACGGACAGCTCAGTTCGGCATCTGCCGCCCCTGTAATCCTGTTGGCCCTCAAGGGTCAGCAACTTCCTATCGTCTGCGATCGGCATGGGCATGGCAAGACGTCGCATCCTCGTTATATGTTACCGGTGGAAGGAAGGGGGATAAAAATGGGCAAATTCACAAGATCATACTCCCCTCATTGATGTACACTTCTATTACGCTCGAGCGACAGACAACCCTTACTCCTGATATCGTATGGCTTCGCATTGTAGCGCAAAGCACTGCGATGAGAGTGAAATCTACCAGCATAGGCGGACTACACTAAAGGTCCTGATAGATTATGATAGGTTCCCCAACCTCATCTATCTCTGGAATCACACACTGTAGGAGCCGGATCAGCATGGCACTTGATCTCCGCGTGATCGACGGCTGACGCACCTTCAAATCAAAAGCCTTTGCAAGTACAATTTTGAAGATCTTTTGAACGTTGATAGAGTGTGATGTGGAGCAAAATATCTAAGTCTGTCCGTTAGCCACATCGAGCCACAAGTTGATATCTTGATTCACCAATGGCGCGTGCATAGCCTTCGAGAACCTCTTGGCTTGCTTGGTGATCTCCTCCTGTTCTTCTCTCGAAAACCCAGCGAACTGGTCGTACTTTGTGCCGATCAAGACTGGTATAGCAGTCTTGTTGAAGCCTCGGGCTTGACGGTACCATTCTTTGACGCTGTTGAGGGTGGCTTTCCGAGTAAGATCAAACATGAAGAGGATGGCGACTGCATCGTTGGACACCAGGGGAAGCATGGACACAAATTCTCGCTGACCTCCAAGATCCCATATCTGTCCGAATCAGCATGGTTCAGCGAAGCGTCCGCAAGTGGCTTACTGAAAAGGTGATCTCGGTATTCCGTATGCTGATCGTTTTTTCCATAAAGTTGACGCCGAGTGTCTGTATATAGTCCTCGCTACATTCCGTAGTCAGAGAGATTGGTATCGAACAGCGACATCAAGACTTACTCAAAACTCCCTTCCACATACTTCACCATCAAGGACGTTTTTCCAATCTGCGAGTCCCCCACCATTCCAACCTTCAAAACAACACTGAAGTAGAGTGTCAGTAGTCATGCAGACTAGAATTCATCTGCACAAGACGCACGAGTTTCTGTCACCACCCTCTCCACCTGATACACGTCCGCTACCAGAGCCGGATGACATGTAACCTTGGTCCGCCATTTTATTGATATAGAAGAGTTCCTTGACAGATGCTTTTGAAGAAGGCTGATCGGATTGCAAGAGACGGAGAGTGGTGCGACGGCGTGAAAGAGAGGTGAGGTGAGGTGCAGGGTTGTCTTGATCGAAGGGCCGAGCGCGCTGGAAAGTGAAGGTGCTAGAGCGGCAAGCCGAGAGTGGAAGGGGGCGGGCCTGCTGGTGTGGTTGTTGAAGGAGAGTGGCGGTGAGGCGGGGCGGGGCAGGATGGGCGGGGTGGAGAGGAAGGGCGAGCCACGAGCGTCGTGATGCGGAGACCAACACCAGCGACCAGACGCGTCGCAAAAGGGCGGCTCGAAGAAGAAAGTGGCATCCATTGCGGCCAAAGTCTCTCTTGTGATGTTTTGGTTCTCCCGCGCGCCTTCCTTGCAGCCATGCCCCCTCGCGCCCCCATCAGATGCTCCCCGAGAACCCTCCTGGCCCCCAGCTCCACCCCATTCCGCCCCAAAACCCTCCCCGGCATCTCGTACCGCCTGAGGAGGCCCTTCGCGTCTACAACGCCCGCCACGCCCTCATCGCCTTCGGTCCTGCGGCCTGCAACCTCTCCAGATGATCCTCCAGTGCCCACAGTGACTGTGAATGGGGCAGAATCTGTTGCTACCGAGCTAGAGAACATCAAAGGGCTGCTGGACAAAGAGCTCGGCGGTGATCCTATATGGGCCGAAAGGGTGCAGAGTGCGTTGGATGACTTGTCTTTACAGAGAAGAGGCAGACTGGCAGGTAAGTCTACATACACCGGGGATCACACCGAGACTCATAGACTGTCAGTTATCGGGGACCAAGCTGCTTCGCCGAGAGAGATCGTGTCTGCCCTTCTGCAGGACCCATTAGTCGATGACGCAGCTACGCGTCGAGCCATAGTCGACAGACACCAAGACGCCAATATCGAAATATTCAATCTCAGGTGAGTAAAGTCCACCATCATTCTGACAATGCTTACTATATTGGTGCCAAGCCTTGGAGCGAGACTGCATCGAGAGCCAGAGTCTTTGGCGGTGTCTTCTTCTTGGCTACAGAACTCGGCGTATGACATACTCGAGATAGACGGTACGCAGCGTCCTTTGTCATTGGTCGTCTGCTAAGCTATGTCCCATAGTGAATAGACTAGATCCAGAGTCTACCATCTCTTCAGTACTCTCAGCGGACGCTGTGGTCCTCTCGATTGATCCCATCCGCCTCACATCGGTCCCCGAAATACAGCGTCTTTTGCCCTTTCTTCTCAATCACGAGCTGGTGGAGTTTGTGGTCAATGGACCCCTACCGTCATCCGTAACCCAAGCATCTGTCGTCACCCAGTTGACTGAGCAGCTGAGGGAAGTTGGTGGGACACAGGCAACGCGCGATCGGACAACCCCCAGCGTGTCGTTTGTGCAAGCCGACAAGGCTCTGAACGCCCTTGAGTTCCTGGCCAAAGGCTTAGAGCTCACAAGTGCCACCCCTGCAATGAAAACAACGGCTTTTGAGTCGTTCCAAAAAGACTACCTCCAGTCGCATATTGGTCCACTCCAGCAGACCTTGTATCAAACGCTTCGTGCCATCCCCAAACCCCAACTGTGTACAGCCCAAAGACTTGCCAAATTTGCTCTATCCCACATTGAGGACGCCATTCTTCAAGAGCGTGACGTCGTGCGTCAAGCTGCCTTGACGGTAACTGAATTGCGGCGTACCGCCGATAGCTATGCCATTAGAGCCAGACATCTGAGCGTGACTACAAAAGGCATCGACGGAGCAGTCGTCGAAGGGGAAGTCAAATACGAGATGGAGAGAATAAAGTCACAAATTGAAAGTAGCTTTCAGGACAATCTGAGCTGGTTGGGTCTTCTCGGTAGACTGAAAGTCGACGACGTCGCCCTCGAGCTAGGCGGGTTTGTTGGCTCTCGCTTCGCCCTGGATCTGGAGAGACAAATCGTCTTTGAGACGGGCCAGCTCTCCCAGCTTCAGCAATCCCTGTCCTCCTCTTCTGACGAGACTCTCCGACAACTCGCTCATCCCAGTCGCCAAAGGTATATCGCCGCAGCTACCAGAGGCAACCCTCTTTCCTCCCCCCTTCTGGCAAATTATCTTTCCACACTTTCGCTATCTATCCCTACCTTGACTCCAGCCCATCTACTTTCTCCTATTCTCACCCGACGCAACCAGCTTATCTCGCAATCCATTCCCCGCCTCCAGATCTCCGCCCAGCGATCGCTGCTGACGACCTATTCAACAACTATCCTAGGTGTGACTGGTAGCTGGATTGGGTCCGTCGCGCCCCTAGAGCTATTCTCGACCAGTACAGCGGGAGGATTGGGTGTCTTAAGTGTGGTCGCTTCGCTGGCATTGGGCCAGACGCTGTGGGCCAGGGCTCAAAAGAGGTTTTGGAAGGACTGGGATAGGATCACGGGAATGCTAAAAGGAGATCTGGAGGTACGTCGTAGAGGCGCCATTGCAGCGGTAATGCTAATGTTTTCCCAGACGAAATTTGATACCACACTCAAAACACATATACTTGCCAAGCCCTTGGCGACTGCTGAGGGACTGGAGAGACTCATTACCAAAAGGCAAGATAGATTAGATGATCTGCAAAAGAGAGCGACCGAGCTTCGAAGCCGGCAGCCGTGACCGTATCTTGGTGTAAATCGAAAACGAGACGCAGCGTCTCATTATATTCATGTATCTGGTAATGCCATGCGAAGAACACCGTATGTATACATAAGTACATGCCTGAACGGCTGCAGTTTGTGCGCACCGATCGAACCACAGTACGTGCCAAAAGCACATCAAAGTCGGGTTAGACTGAGGCACAGGGCGTCGCGACCTCCACCTTTTCGGTCAAAACCCACAACAGCAGCGTCAACTCCCAGCTAAACTGATTCTGTCGCTGTTGGTCCCACCGACGATCATCTTGGGTCATCCAAACTATACATATATCTATATCTACCTACTGTGGGGATAACTCAAACGTCGGCAAAAACCACACAGCGCTCTCCGCCCATCATATCATCAATCATCTGTCAGAATGGGCGCGGATCAGTCGAAAAGCTCTTCCTCAAGTACTTTGGAGGCCGATCGACGGCCTCCTGATTATTATGAGCTCCTGGAAGTGGATGAGGATGCAGACTTTGAAGCTATCAAGGTGAGTCATGTTATGTATCATGTGTACTACCGAGCTAACAACGGCGGCTGTATAGAAATCATACAGGAAATTGGCCGTGAGTGGTCTAGCCCTGTATAGAGATATGAGGGGGCTAAGACGGTAGCCACTCTTCAGCTCGTCAACCACCCGGACAAGAATCCGGATAGAATTGAAGAGGCTACCAAGTTCTTTGCAGATTTACAGCAAGCGTATGAAGTAAGTGAATGTCTACCCAAAAGCAGTACTGACCATTCTTTAGATTTTGAGTGATCCTCAAGTGGGCAGCTTTCCAGGTGTAAGATTGGTCTATGCTGAGCTATAATCACTAGGAAAGGGCCTTCTATGATTCTCATAGGAACGCTCCGGTAGCCGCCACCGACGACGATATCTTTGAATATATTCGTGCAGGGGACGCAGCTACGAATGACCCACGATCCAAGCTCAATCGCCGTCCCGCTGGAGACCCCGGAATCCAGCTGGAGCAGCTCATGGCATTCTTCGATCCAAAACTCACCCGAAAGCTGGATGACTCTACAGAGGTGAGCCCTTTCGTCCTTCAAGAAAACGAAATGATATTTACTGCGAGCAGGGGTTCTATTCCGTTTATAGGACGCTTTTCGGTCTTTTGGCTTCAGACGAACGGCTTCACAGCGATACGCCGCACCGTATGATGTATCCTTCATTCGGACAATCATCAACCGCATACGCGCCGCCCCATGGTCTCACGCGCGCCCAAAAAGACTCACAGATATGGGCGAGGGATTTCTATGCGGTGTGGGGAGAGTTCGTCACCGAAAAACGGTTTGAATGGATCAACAAGTGGGATGCAGACAAGGGTGACGACCGGATGGTGAGGAGAGCAATGGAAAAGGAGAACAAGAAGGCCAGAGAAGATATCCGGAAGGAATATAATGACACAATTCGAGTATGTGCAGCATCGGTCACGGCCAACTGTCATATGTCATGCTGATCACATGGTTGATTTCATTGTAGCAACTGGTCAGCTTCATTCAACACCGCGATCCTAGATTCAAGCTCCACCAAGCAAAGCTTGCACAAGCCAAATCGATGAAATCATCCAGCTCGAAAGTCGCAACACCTTCCACAAAACCTGCTGTTCAAGCAGAAGCAGCGCACCGACGCGAGCAAGAGCGCCTTCGCCAGGCTGCCGCGTACGAAGAGCAAGACTGGCAGAAGATGTCTGGAAAAAATTCAGATAATGGGGATGAAGTTGATGAAGATGCAGAGGAAGAGCAAATGGGGGACGGAACTGCTGTGCGGATAGATGATGGAAATGGCAGTGAAATTTTTGAGTGTGTTGCTTGTAGCAAGACTTTTGCCAGTGAAGCGAGCTGGGAAAACCACGAGAGGAGCAAGAGACACAAACAGGCAGTTTGGAGACTGAAAAAAGAGATGAGAGCGGAGGCGAAGGCGATGGGTATGGAAATCGGCGAGGCGGAGGTGTACAGCGATGAGCCCGACGCGACAGAGCCTGCTTTCCTGGCAGAGGATAGTTCTCTAGCCACCCCCCCAGAAGATGTCAGCGGTCTGCAAGAAGGGTACGATGAGGCCACTCAGGCTTCCAAAAAGTACGTTTGGAAAGTACGCCCCACGTAAAGCGCGCTGACAAATAAGTAGGTCCAAAAAGAAGGGTGGTAGAACAGTTTCTCAATCAGGCCCACCGGAATCGAAACCAGATATAGGAACAACTTTACCACTGCCAAAGCAGCGACCCTTGTGTGACGAACTCGACGCCACAGACAGAGACACGAAGACGGACAAAAGCGCGGCTAGCGGTCCATCAAAACGCGACAAACGCCGAGCTCGAGAAGCGCGAAAGAAAGCAGACGAGGAAGAGCGCCTGGCAGCTGCAAAAGCTGCCCGAAAAGCCACCAAACATAGTCTTGCTACTTCTCGTGACGAGTTCGTGTCTGCAAGATCGTCTGGCTTGAGTGGACAGGCTGCCAATGATGCCGAAAGCTTTGTGATGCCAAAGCAGAAGGGCAAGCCGCGCTTGAAAGCCAAGGGCGACAAGGACGGCGTCGAGCGAGGCGCTAGCGCTAGCGAAGCCCAGTTGAAGGCTGTCGTGGCGGATATCCAAGAAAAGCGCGATAAAATGATAGAGAAATGGGACTCAAATTGGGAAGGTGCGTATATTGTAGAGCAGTGCAACGTCACGCTGAAGAGCTGATTGTGGAACAGAACTTGGAACGAAACTCAACAGGCTATTAGGCGACAACCAGGCAAAAGCTACCACAGTCCTTTGCCTTGGATTGGGAAAGCCATACACAGACCGGACAGCTCGCATTCAGCTCGCGCTCCTGCTCGGGCTTCTCACCGCACTACAGGTCAGCTCTTCCTATGTCCACTCCTGATATCCGATAGCTAACGTGCTTCTAGTCGGATATATCCGAAGTAGTGATCTTCGATCCGATATTCGATCATAACGACAAAGCATTGCTTCGTCAACTGGGACTAGATGTATCTGAACAAAATTTGGTACGCGGACTTTCCTTTTCGCGCAGAACTTTTTCTGATTTTTGGTTAAAGCTCGGAAAGCACGAGCTGCAAGAGGACCGGCCATATCTTATCTATCTTCCACACGCACCCCGTCAAATATACGAAGCTGTTCTTTCTACTAATTACAATCCTCATCTTTGTGGATCATCACCAGGCAGAGTGATACTTGGAAATGATCTGGGTGACTACTTACCCGGATATGTGGGAGACACTCTGAACACAGAGGAAAGCGGCGAAGGAGAATTTACAAAGCCAAAGAAAAGGAGAGGAAAGGGAGGTCAGAAGCCTACTGTCAAAGACAGTGTTTTGGCTCGTCTGGGTACGTTTGATGCCTGGCTATGAGCATAGCTGACGATTTGCTCGCAACAGTGCCCCATATGTCAAAGCTGCCCTTTGGCTCTGCCTTGCCCGAGACGAATCTCCCCGGTTTCGCCCGCGCATTTTTGTCATTTACATTTCAATGGATTGAAGAAGACAAGAAGGCACATATAGACTGGGAACGGAAGCTGCCTGATATCGAATGGGGAGATGACGGTGAAGTTATTCATTGAATAGGGAAAGTGTCTGTTTCTTTAATCTGCTTGCATATGTACATGGCACAATGTGATCAAGTATGGGACCGGTCCTTCACGAGTATTCAGCTAGTCACCGTCAGAGGTTACGCGCAACAGGTTTATTGACGGAAGCAATTTTACGCAAACAGTCACGCGTCCTGTCTCGTGCGGGAAAGATATATATGAACAGCATAAGGGTAAGGTGCTGCTCATTCACTCCTATTGACACATTCTAATACATAATTCCGCCCTCTCTGTCCATCAGCATATGACCCGCCGTAAAAAATGCCGCCTCAAGACTCCGTCTCGCCCCTCGGCTTGAAACCGCCGGCTATTACTCTCGTCCGAACCGACCTAGAATCAGAGCCGTCCAACGACTCATCCCATGATTCACCAGATGATAGAGCGCCCGCCCACTTTACGCTACCAGCACTACAGAGTCCCAAGCGGAGCCACGTCCGGATTGAAAGTCAAGACACCGCTGCCTTGCCTCCTTCAGAGCAAGGTGCCGAGGACCACCGTTCTCACACGAAAAGGCCTTCTTTTGCCATCACAGCCGAGGGCAAAAACGCGACCAACACCAGCCGAAGGAGCTTGTCAGGCGATAATTCAGGAGATCGGGCAATGCGGTCATGGCCAGAGAAAATGGTCACCTTCGCGCAACTTTGTGCCCAAAAGATTGCCGAGCATAGATATTTCAGTTGGATCGGGCCTAAGCTCACCTGGGGAAAACTCAAGCCTGTCTTACGAAGTGCGGTATCTGTGAGCAGGCGGTGGTAAGCCTGTGGTTCTCACTGACACCTCGCACTAGTCTTGGCTGGGCTTAGTTTTGATTGTGATTGTTCCAGTCGAGCGAGCTATTGGGACAGGTTCATGTAAGTGATCCTTGCTTCTTCAGGGATGCACGATTGATACGAAGTGCACCATAGTCTTCATTCTTATTGTTGGGTTTATGATGCCCCCGTACGAGCCGGTCGTCCAGACGCTGGAAAAATATCTCAACCTGTTCCTTTTCGCTTCTATGTCTTGGGTCTGGGTAAGTAACTAATCTGATTTGCCGGCTACGACCGAGATCATTGATGGAGCAGGTCATCATCGCGATTGCTATTGCTGGCGCCACTCGTGGTCCGCTGGACCTCGACAAAGTAGCCAAAGCTGAAGCTAAGTGGGGTTTCTTGAAGGAATCGAATCCTACAAAATATCAACAACGGATAGTAAGTACTCGACACGATGTCATGCCTGATCTGATTCATCAAGATATTCGACGGGACATACCTGCAAGCCAAACCAGCTGTTGTTTGTGCCGTTTTCCTTTCCGCTGGAACGGGGGCTTTGGTACGTGATCAACAAGCATTGAACGACACATGCTGATGAGTTGATGCCAGCTGTGGTGGAAACTCAGGACGTCTCCTAGTCCCGCTACTTTCCCTCTGGTTCTCTCCTGTATATTGATCGACGTCAGTTTGACCACTGCTGCTTTCTACCCCACCAATGTCTACGATATTGGCCTGATCTTTTTCCTACCCATGGCCATTCAAGCTGGCCTCGGGACCCTTTGTTCCATCCTCATCTTTCCCGAATCAGTCGGCCATTCGTTTCAATCCAAATTCGGGGGTGTCTTGGACCCTTTGGCGTCCGCTATGAAATCAATCGACGAACTTTTCAGCGAAGCTGAACAAACCGTCGCCGACTCCGAAGACGACGACTTTCTGTCCGCCAGAGACCTTCAGAGAGAGCGAGAGGGCTTTGCGGACAGGCTCGAAAATTGGGCAGGCCGCTGCAAAGGCATCAAAACCAAGCTTCTCCAATCGCTTACCGGTCTACCCCCTCTAAGGGCCCAACAAAGGTATCTATCAGTGGACATCAGCTACAGCCGTCTCTCTGGAGAAGACCTGCGAAACCTTTTCGATCGCCTTGCACTTCTCCAAGCTCGTTCAGGAGGAATGGCATTCTTCTTTGACGTTATCATCACGAATGCTAAACATTCTCACTTGGATTCGTCTGCGTGGTCTGTTCAACAGGTCGCACAATCACGACCTGGATCGAGAGCGACTTCTATTAGAAACGAGTCTCTGGACGATCGACATGACAACAGCGAGTACGAAGTTCGAGATGATGATGCTGCCACACCCGCGTTGGAGGTCGAGGACTCAGCCGAAGGCTCTCACAACCCCAATCATCACTCTGGGTCAAAAAGATTCAGCATGCCCGGCATACTGCGACGGAGCGGCTCTCCTCATGGAATATTAAACTCTCACAGAGGGAGTCATATGTCTCTGTTGGATCATTTGAGAAAGTCACAACAGCCTGTTGGCATCTACGAAAGCACCAGGTACATGGACATCGAGCGCAACTTTGCCGTGTAAGTTCTTGATTCTCCAATATCGTCTTGATTGCAGCTAACGTCCACTCAGCGATACTGCCCAGGTCCTTGAGCAACTCGACATATTGGCCCGCGGATGTGTTCCAGTCATCCGAGGGTGCCAAAGCGCCTTATCAAAAGCGTCCCAATGGATTGTGAATGTGAATCATGACCGCCACATCATGACATGGGCAAGCCAACAAACTCAGAATCACAAGAAAGGCGCACTTGATGACGAATTGTCGCAAGTGATTGCAACTCTACAAGGCGCGCTGGACGACTTTCAAATATCTCGGTTGCAAATTATCCAACCTTACAAACACCTGTTTGACCCAAATTACCCAACAGAGACCAGCCTTCGAGGCAAGGTATGTATCGACCGAATGTACAACTATAGCGCTAAATCCTATCCCTTATAGATGCATTTTCGCGGCTTGTTTCAAAATTTTGTTGCTCAATATCATCTGATAGAGTTTTCGACTGCTCTTCTGGAACTCTTACGGATGATGCAAGATCTGGACAGATCGCGACCTGACCGAAGAATGTGGTTTCCTCGCGTATCTTCCATGCTCAGCCATTTGCAACACAGCCAGAAGGAAAAGCATCTTACAGAAGGAGACGAAGAAGGGCATGACAACGATGGTAGGCAGCAGCATCATCAGGCGTGATCTCAGTGCTGATCATCTCCACTCAGCTGCTTTCAATCGTGATGAAGACGAGCTGCTAGGAGAAGCCAAAACTCGTAATCCCGAGTATAAGCCTTTCGACTCTCCGTGGCTCAACCTCGTCGCAAAAGCCATCAAAGTCCTCGACATTTTCCAAAGCAGGAGCTCAATGTTCGCCGTCAAGGCTGCCATGCTGGGGGCTCTGACTACTTTGCCGAATTTCATTGCGTGGGTTTCAGTATGTTGGTAGCAAAATCTTTGCTAAACAGGTTAGATCATCGGCTTCTTTCTATTACTTCAATCGAGGAGTGTGGTGTACCATCATGGCACAACTCAGTAAGCATTTGGGATATGCTGTCACACCCCTCAGCCCGTTGCGGCTCCACATGAAACTGGCTGACAAATGGTCCTCAAGCACTAGCCGTGTACTCTGTATGTTGTGATGATCGTCTTACGGTACCTGGGCCGCGCTCAAATCATTTGCTGACAGGATTGACAGGGTGATACTGCAACAGCATGGCTCAGCCGAGTGGTGGCTTCTTCTTGGGGCTGTTTACTGGGAATGGTTATCTGGTACATTTCAGGTTATAAGTATGATGACTGGAGTACTGACTTGTTGCAGGTACATCAGCAGCGGACATGGGCAAGGGAACCCCGTAAGCCCATTTGCCATCGATGCGTGCAATTTAGAGCACAATGATGAAATCAAGCTCTGACATATGTGTAGTACGGAGTAGCGGCTGCCTGTGCAGTGATTTTTCCGATTGCTGCTTTCTTTCGAGTGCACTTTCCAGGCCCGGTCCTGACGGCTGTCATGTTGCCTGTGACTATGGGACTCGTGATAGGTTATGTTGGTTTTATGTGCCGCCTTGCATTGTTCTTTGCTAACGATACAATACCAAAGTCTTATTACAATGGAACCATTGGTCCTCTGACTCACGCCGAATGGGGATGGGACGTTGCCTGGTGTGTTGCTTTCGCCCAATTGTGTAAACAAAGCAGAGCTGACATACGCCAAGGCGGCGATTTCTTTGTGTTCTTATCGGTATCTCGGCTGCCTGGGTATTTTCCTATGGTGAGTACGGCTATGGGAGACGCAAACTGATCATCATAGTACCTCCCGTTTATTCAGCAAAGAGAGCTATTCGATACTCGTACGCGCGAACGATCGGCATCACGGGCTCAATTCTCTGTGAGATATTGTCTCATGCAAATGACCCTCATTACCATCTGAAAGAAGACGATGAGATTCTCAAGCAGTTGATTGCCTGGCGTTCGAAGCTAAACAAGGTGCGTGCTACGTATCCTCGAAATCGCGAAGGCCACGCGCCTAACATGACATCTTCATAGCTGGGAGCCAGACATATAAATGCTACTCGCGAGAAATCATTGAGAGGCAAATGGCCGGAAGAACGATACAAGGTAAGCTTGTCGGGTTTCAACGTCAGCATCGAAGCCCATCGCATAACGCACCATAGGCTCTTTTTGAGACACTACAAGACACACTGTCATTACTATCACAGCTCAACCATGTTCTTACCCAATTGGATAGACCATGGCGTAAAGCTCTACTTGACCGGACACGTCTTTCGGATCCCATGTTCCTCGGTGATGTACTTGTTGTTCTGAGCATGTGCTCAACGGCATTAAAAGCAGGCTCGTCATTGCCGCAAATCACCCCAAGTCCGCTGGTAGCGCGATTCAGAATGGGAAAGACGAAGGGTCTCGATCTTCCCCTAGATCCTACTGATCAATCCACTGAGCTACCTGGCTTAGTGACGGTAGATGGTGAGTACTTCCACCTTTCTTACCTTGACTTGGCCTAACAGTACGCAGTACTCGAGTCCGACAACTACATGCGCTACGCCCTGGGAATCACTACTACGTTCTCGCTTGTGTCAAGGCTGGATAGAATTGTGGTTATTTGCAAGACGTAAGTCCCTTCATCTCTGCGGATTACTAAGAGCTGTTGATGTATGCGAGTGCTGATTGTATTGGGTTCAAAGCTTGCTAGGCGAGAATTATCATATCGCGGGGCTACACCTGGATCAGACTGCTAGGGTTTGAAATAATGCATCGATTTCCATCAAGCCCCGGTACGTATCGTTCATGCATGTATCCGTCCGCAATGTAGATGCTTCTTCGGTCGAGGGGCAAAGCGACTAGTGGCAAACATACCACGAGACCTTCTTCAGTATGTTTGATGATCACATGCGTCAGGGGCGTCATTCATCTTTCTATGGGCCAACACAATGTACCCATCAATCTTCTCCAAGATCCCATCCGTCAATCTCCATTGATAACGCATGAAGATCAATGAGATGTGTGTTCAACTCATCGGTGTCATCGGTACACTGCAATTTGAGCATCGTATTGTATTCCTCGAACGCAAATGGCGGTCGGCCTTTGTGTGCCTTCAAGCCCTCGAGCATTTTCTGAGATCGATTGTCAGCGGATGTCGATGTTAGCGAAGGGCGGAGACCCTTACCTTTGGCCCTTGCTCATAAAGACCCCAATAGCCGAGAGCTTTACTCAACGTGTCATTGTCGCTATTTGTCCCGATTCCCCTGAGAATCTGCTGAAGACTCGTGATGTTTCTCTTGATCTTGCGAACACCGGCACCGTTGACGCATTTGATGCGCCTACTGGCGAACCCAGTAAAACAATGGTCGACCAATGGCCCGAGAGCCTGGAAAACGAATCTGATAGATGTCACATGTCAGGTCATGAGGCAGTATAGAGGCCAGCGATGGACTCACTCGTGATCGTCGCAAGAGACAGCATTCCGCACTAACTCTTCAGCCTCGACCAGATTTGTATTGAGATCCAGGATATCAGAGTCCGGTTCCAAAGCTTCACTTTCTAGCCGGAAATCGCTCTACCAAACGAGTCATTAAACCATGAAGATCACAGAGCAAAGACCGTACTCACGTTCTGCAGAAAAGCGCCAAGGTTACACATGACCCTACATCGGATTTCCAGCCGGATAGTGTTGAGTATCATCTCCGCCAGTTGTTCATAGGTCTGTATAATGGCTCGATATCGCCTAGTAGTGGGACAAGGCAGGGTCAGCCACGAGTACCTGCATATGATCATGAATGACTTACTCCGCCATAGCACGAGTCAGAGGTAAACGAGGTTCTTCGTCGTTGATAGAAGGACGAGTATTGGCTATGGGATTTACATTGAGCGAGTCGCCTTCTGGCAAAGTTGTTTCATCTGCAACGCTCTCCAGGTCCACGAGAGCGTTCACGAACCAGCGCTGGAAGTGGTGCGTCAGGACTGAGAAGCGGCAAGATGAAGATTGTCCACTCACCAAGCTGCGCAACAGATCACCCAGCGCTTCGAGCTTTCGTTGCGAATTGATGAGCTGAGATTCGGTAGGGGCTTTTGAACCGAGTAGATCCAACTCGATGGAGAGCTCCTTTCGATAGATAGAGGACAGCGCAGCTGGCTCATTGTTCTAAGTCCATATCAGCTGTGTGCGCATTCCGAAATCAAAACGGTAGGACTCGCCATGGCGGACCGTAGCTCAGAAAGGTACATTGTGACGTCTTCTCTCTGGGCCCAGATAGCTGGCACAGTCAGGGGTCTATCCGAAGGATTATCCATCGTTGAAGGTACGGACGCGAGATCTGAATGACGTGGAGATTAGCTGCTGCAGCCTGAAATGCTCGACTCACCCTTGAAGTGCGTGCTGCACTGTTGATAGTATTGCACAATGACTCCGATGATGAGTCGACTGTAATTCTCCCGATGGAATGGTGTCGTTTGAAGCATGACACACAGAGTGTGAATCAGAGTCATGACTCTGGCACTAGACTGGACAGAGTGATAAGCACGTTTCTACAAAAAACCAACGGCCACTTACCTTGGTTGGTGGCTGTGGCATATCGACCAGTAGAGCGCGGTCAACCTGGTAAGCGTCATAGCCAGACACCGCCTGTTGGAATCCTGCCGTGACCTTTTCGTCTAGCTGCGGTAAGAACACCTTGACCACAAAGTCTTCCAAGACTGTATCAATTCCTCCCATTTCATCTTCGAAGCCTTGCGGGACAATTTGAGAGGTGCGCTGGATGAAGGAGAGAGTGGGTTGGAACAAGGTAGTAACGTTGAAAGCATTCGGTGGTACAAGAGTACGGTAGCGTCCTGATACAGAACGGTCATCATTGTCGACAGTGAAGAGCACCGGTTGCTCAGAATTAGGATTGACGAGTCCTGGCACAGAAGCGTGCAAAGCCTCTTGAACAGAGTCGTCAACACTTTTGATTTCGCTCTGCACAGCTCGAGCGTCACTTTCAGTAAATTTGAACATTTGCTACACGTTGCGTCAACGATATGGACTGATGAGATAGAGCTGTCTTACTCTGCCCCTGTCTCTTGAGACCCGGGGATCGCGCATAAGCTCGTTGACAGACGAGATGTGATGTCTATTCAGAGTCGAACCTTGCTGATCATCCGTGAGATAACTGCTCAATAGAGACTTGACTTCTTGTTGTATGGGTCTCCACATCTCTGAGACGGGCGCATTGGACGACATATTCGAGCCAGTCTGTGTAGTCAAATTTCGAAAATCTCTCCGCTATGCATCATCAGCAAGAATCTGGAGCCAAACGTCGCGGTCGACTCACCGACGCGATCCACCGTGAAACTTCGTACAAGACCCGGTGGCCTTCGAGTACGGCACATAATTTGGAGTACAAAGTCCAGAACAAGTCATTGAGGAGCGCCACATGCTGCGGAGGACCGGTGGCTTCAAAAGACACGTCGAATTTGGAAACTTCAAGTGAGGCGCGCGTCCGCTGCGAAGAAGAAGACATTGGCATTGCAAAAATGTCTGGATTGGCGGAAGATTGGGTACGCAGAGCGACATCAAGAGCGTCTCGCCTCTGCTGAGCTCTTGAAACGTCTCTCAGCATCTCAATACGGGTGAATGAGATTAAGAAAGTACTGACCTGTCATCCACTTCGTCAAGTGTACTTTCAACCAGTCCGTGCGTTTCTGCTGGTGCTCGTTGAGTGACCACATCCAGAGCTTGCCCTAATCTACCCATTGCAGCCAATGCCTCCAGCAAACTCTCGATGTAGGAGAAAGATTCAGCCTCAGGGTTGCTCAATCCAATTGCACTCAACATCTCAGGAGGGCCCTCAGTATCTCCTGCCAGAGAGGACAAGGACCCCTGTGACCCTGATGTCGTGAAATCATGCGCCGTGGAAGCTTTCAATCCGTGGGATGTATCGATAGTTCTTGAGGTTGGGGGGGCCAGGTCATCGTTGTAGAGCAACATAGGGTCGGCGCTGGGTTTCTGGTCGAGCTGCGCAAGATATCTGGAGAATCGCGAGGTTGGTTGATCATTTTTTTGAGATTTGGTGACCGAAGGGTCAGGCGAGCGGGAAAGAGCCGATTCGTCCTCTTGTGGGTCAATGATCGGTAGCTCTCGTTGACCCAGCTGATATGGGAGCCATCGAGAGTCGCTGTAGAATGTTTTAAGGTAGAGGTGGTTGTGCAACTCCTCGATGAGAATTTCACTCAACGTCTAGAACTAGACGTCAGCCGTGATTCGGATACTTTCCATTCAAACTGACGGTTTCTTGGGATGTGAGATACGATCGAAGGTCCGATAACGCGCCGATCTCGAGAAGTTCGGGCTTATTGACAGTCTTGAGACTGCGCACAAGCATCAATGAGGCCCGAAGGAATTGTTTGTCGCCTATCAAAGTCTCTAACTGATCCGGAACCTGTTTGATATGGTCTCTGCAGCCAGGAAGGTAAGCAGATATCGACCGAGAGAGCTCCTGGAGACTTACATGGTATCTAATATCTTCAGCATATCTCGCACCGTCTTTTCCCGCGTCCTGACGATAGCCAATTCTGTCTTTCCCTTTCCAGCGAATCCGTCCCGGGCTGCCTTGAGATCAGACTTGGATTCTCGCACTTGCTCTTGCGCTTTTGCTAGGATGTCCAGAAAATTCTGATGCGCCGGCAAAGACGCGGCGAAGGGTTTCGACTCGGATTGTACCGCGGATTGTAACGCGGTGGAAAGAGAGTCGTGTAGTCGTAGGAATGGGGAGATACCAGGGTGCTCCGGGAGAGACGACGATGGATGGTCAGAGAGCAGAGACAGTGCGAGTGTGGATGCCGAGAAGTCACTTTCCATGACAAAAGGCCAGTCTTTTCTGACTTGGCGTAGTGTTAAATCGATATCACTAGCTTGACCATTTCGAAAATCATCCTCCCATTGCTCTTCCTTGACTTCTCTCTTCGACCGTTCATGGTGTTTTGGCCGTCGAGCAGGAGGTGCGGTATCTTCTCGACTTCTTCCGGCACTCAAGAACGCACCAACTGCGTTTCTGACTTGATCGGAACCAGTGCCCTTATGAGCCCGAAATGGTTGCTGTGATTGTTGCACAGCGGCAGATACTTGGGCACGAAGCTCCGACCTTTGGGAGCGATCATTTGCGAAGACGTCTGTGGTTTCGGACAACTCTTGGTCATGCCCTTGCGCAGACGGAGTCATCGGCGATAGAGGGGGTATATCCAGACCGTCGCTCTGGGCCGATGTTCTGGCTGATATCTGTGAGGTCTGTATAGGCAGCCCTGGACCTGTACGGGTGTCCGCATTTCGCCTTTGAGGCACGTCAGGCTGGGGCACATCTCTCATGCGTGACCGAGCAGGCCTGGCTGGACTTGTCGACGGCTCCTTGATGATAGCACCTCCATGCTCTTTGGATGGGGTAGTCGATGCGTTGGATGATGGGCCGTCGCGTTGGGAAGACTGTCGGGGTAGTGGGGTCGGGAAGGAGGGGTAGGGGCCGGCATCTGTGTTGTAGGCCGACCTGAGATCGGAGGGAAGAGGTTGCGGATTGGATATTTTGTAGCGGGTTGATGGGGCTCGAGACATGGCAGCCGGGCTTGGGAGGATGGGTGATGTTGGGTG